CTATCTTGTAACACGTAAGAGTAAAATCTAGATAAGACTATCTTGTAAGATGTAAGAGTAAAACCTAGATATGGCTATCTTGTAAGATGTAAGAGTAAAACCTAGATATGACTGTCTTGTAAGATGTAAGAGTAAAACCTAGATATGGCTATCTTGTAAGATGTAAGAGTAAAACCTAGATATGACTGTCTTGTAAGATGTACAAGTAAAATATATGTAATGACTATCTTGTAAGATGTAAGAGTAAAATCTATGTATCACTATCTTGTAAGATGTGAGAGTAAAATCTAGATATGACTATCTTGTAAGATGTAAGAGTAAAATAGTAGTATGGTTATCTTTAAGTGCAAAATCATGGAACGTTTTTTCTGACAAGCCATATGACTTCATATATCAAAGTTTCTTCTTAGAGGGAGATACGAACATCTTACAAAGTTGCTGTATGTAGTGGAATTAGTCGAATTATAGAACTAGCTTAAACTCGTTAAAGGTGAGTATTTTTTTTAACGATTTTCTAAAAAAGGTTTTTGTTATATCTATGATAAATAACCTACAGTAACACTGCTTTTGTTCAGATAATTTCAGGGTTCCTCAGTTTTTTTTATAGATACACTTTGAGGTTCATTAGCTTTATCATAAATACACCTCGGGGTTCATCAATCTTCTTATACGTACACTTATCGGTATTTTAATTGATTTACTTAATTATTTTTGCTTAGAGAGCTGTTATGCGAAAAAACAACAAGAAACCAGAAGTTTTACGGGGTACCATTACTTTAGAGATTTGATTTATCGCTAAATAAAGATTACACGTTCACGATTCTAGACTAACGTTTATCAGGATTTGGTGATTCCTGAAATAAATTTCCATTTTTTTTATGTACGATTCTCATGAAGACAAACTGAAATCAGATTTTCTTACCACTATCCATACTTTCGTATTGACTTGGCTTCTTTGCTGTTGCTTCTACCGAGTTTACTTGAAACATCTTTTGGTGTATTTGTTTTCCTACTAGAGTCAAGGAGAGGATGACAACTGGTACCTGAAGAACAAGAAAAGTGCATTAGAAACACTCACTTTGGAACTCTGCTGTTCTGTAGGAGAGAAATTATTTTATATACTTTACATAGAAAAGTACTAAAACTTAATAAAGAAAGAAGGCTGAATGTAAAAATGTAGATAAATACGTATACAGAATGATGAATAAACAGAAAATAAGTTAGACAGATAGATATATACATACCATTAGTAATGCCAAAATCCAGAAAGCAAAGTCTATGTGTGTTTTTCTCTGAGCTTCGGCCAATGTAGTGGCTGGTAGGGTGATGTTTTCCTCGGGCTCGGCCACGGATTCTGTGGCATTGTCAATAAAAGGAGAACAGTCTTCGTTCAGTAAAAAAGGTTGAGCTATCATCGGGCTTAAGAAGGCCCCTACTCCGTAGAAGAAATGAAGAGCCTATAAAAAATAATTTTTTACAAGTTTCGTCAATCCCATTGAGGTGTATCGTCTGCTTTATTCACCCTTATCAACCGCAGTAGGACCTAGTAAATATATATTTTTGTCTTTGAGATAAGTGTTAGCTTTTAAAGATTAAAGTTATTAATAAGAAAGCAAATGTCTAAGAGGTTCATTAATTTTAAAAATTTCAGAAGCTATATGCTAATTAGTATAATTTGGAAAGTCTAAACGAACACCATTGTGACTAAAGAAGGCGTGTATCAACGCTTGAGAACGGATACCACTGTGACTAAAGAAGGCGTGTACCAACGCTTGAGAACGAACACCGCTGTGACTAAAGAAGGCGTGTACCAACGCTTGAGAATGGATACCACTGTGACTAAAGAAGGCGTGTACCAACGCTTGAGAACGAACACCACTGTGACTAAAAAAGGCGTGTACCAATGCTTGAGAATGGATACCACTGTGACTAAAGAAGGCGTGTAACAACGCTTGAGAACGAACACCACTGTGACTAAAGAAGGCGTGTACCAACGCTTGAGAACGGATACCACTGTGACTAAAGAGGGAAGTATAAACTGAGAAACAGGCCTTTCTTTCAAAACCTTTGCAACAACAAACAGTGAGAATTACACTGAAATGGCTGGGCTTCGTCTAGTGGTTAGTGTCAAGTAGATCGAAGTGTCTGGGATGTGAACCATGATGTCGTCAATCATGCTCCGATCTTTGGGTGTAATATAAAACAGTGAGAATTACACTGAAATGGCTGGGCTTCGTCTAGCGGTTAGTGTCAAGTAGATCGAAGTGTCTGGGATGTGAACCATGATGCCGTCAATCATGCTCCGATCTTTGGGTGTAATATAAAACAGTGAGAATTACACTGAAATGGCTGGGCTTCGTCTAG